TCATTTTTATAGCACAATAGTATTCCATCACAATTCTATAGCACAACTTGGTCAGCCATTCCCAAATTGATGGGCATCCCCTTAATTTCCAATTCTTTGCTACCACTAAAAGAGCTGCTGTACATATTTTTGTACATGTAGGTCCTTTTCCTTCTTTTTTAAAAAATCTCTTTGTGATACAGACCTAGTAGTGGTATTGCTCAGTCAAAGGATATGCATGATTTTATAGCTATTTAGGCATAGTTCCAAATTGCTCTAAAAGAATGGTTGGATACTTACAACTCTACCAACAGTGTATTAGTGTCTCGGTTTTCCAATATCTCCTCCAACATTTGTCGTTTTCCTTTTCTGTCATATTAGCCAATTTGATAGGTGTAGGGTGGTAGTTCAGAGTTATTTTAATTTGCATTTCCCTAATCAATAGTGATTTAGAGCATTTTTTTACAAGACTATAGATAGGTTCAATTACTTTTTCTGAAAACTGTCTGTTCACATCACTTGATGATTTATCAATTGGGGATGCTTCTTATTTTTATAAATTTGACTCAGTTCTCTATATATTTGAGAGATGAGGTCCTTATCAGAGATACTTGCTGTAATTTTTTTTTCATAGTTATAAATATTGTGTATTTCAGAAAGGAAAAATCTTTAAGAGATAGGAGCTCTATCCACCAATGCAGATCTCCACCCACACACACATAAAATACAGGTGTTAAATCCTAGGGAGTAGCTTGAGGCACGTAGAGATTAAGTGACTTGCTCATGATCACTTTCTCATGTTGCTGTTGTTCATACCTCATTCTCAAAGATGGTGACATCTTGACTTGAGTCAATTGGATTTAAGCAAGGCAGAGTTGCACAAAGTGAGCAGCTTCACTCTTCCTCCAGAGTCATTGGAGTCCAGTGGCAAGACATAGGTCAAGCTGGTGCACTACCCTGGATGCAGTGGGAGACCTTGGCCTTTTTTTTTTTTAAGCTAAGGTCTTTCCCAGGTCTCAGTTTGTCTGAGGCAATGCCCGTTCAGTAACTAAAGGCTAGGTAAGAATTGAGGCAAAATATGGTCTAGATTGCCCTTAGAAAAGAATCAGTCTGGGTGAGAAAGACCTTCAGAGTTTCTGGCCAGAACAGAAGTAATTGCTATTTACACTCATCCTGAGCCATTTAAAACTCAAACAATGAACAAGTGAGGTTTGGCTTGGGACCTATTGTTGGCCAATCAGTGAGAGCCGGAGTGATTTGGATTTAAAGGCATAGTCAAGTAACTTCATTTGGATCATAATAGGCTTTATCAAAGCCTGTTTTTTTCAGAGCTATATTTCAGGAAATCATAAATGAAAACTACACAAGACAAAAGAGTTAATTGTCCCTGTTTTTCAGGAAAAAAAAAACCAAACAGTGATAAATAGGGAGGAAATCTATCCCTCAAACTCCAAGATCCTTTGTGAAGTATAAGTGATCAAAATTTGTATTCCTTTGGACAGAGTACCCACATGTAAGGATATCAGAGTGACTCCTAGTCTACTGTTCTAACTACTATGCCAGATTGCTTCATCATCAATTGTCTTTTTTTTTTTTGATGTGAACTTATGATTTCATAGGTGTGGGGAACTCCTCATATAGAAACTCTCTTCTCTAATGCAAATCAGCAACACATCTCTAAATCTTAGGTTAATTTACTTGCCTACTATCATGTAGCTGGTCTGCATCAGAGGCAGCACTTGAACTCTGGGAAGACATGGGTCTTCTTGATTCCAAGACTGGTCTTTTATCCACTTTGCCTACCTTTTGTCTTATACACGCATGCATGCATATATGCACACATATATACACATATACACATGTATGTACATACATATTATTGGTTGGTTGGTTGTTGCCCTTTGTTCTTGAAGAGGACCAAAATGACATCACTATGTTGGAGTCAAGGTACAGTGTGTCTGACTGTGGCTGATCAGATCAATATGAGTTCAGAAAGCTCTGCCGAGTTTGGCCACAAATAGTTGATATGAACAGTTGGAGTGGAGATGTCTCTAAATTTTCGCATCTCAAATTTCTTTTGAGCCACTGCAATCCTGCTTTGCTCATAGAGCACGGTGCCTTCTTTGATGTTGGCATGTCATGGTGGGCCATCTTGTGCCAGTGTCTCTCCCATGTCTCCCAATTGACTCCAAAGTTCTTCAGAGACCTTGAGAGTGTCCTTGTATATGTATATCTACATATGTATGTATAGCACATGTTTTGGGTTTACTATCCTAATCCCCATTCATACCAGTAAATCAAATCTCCTGGCTAAGTAGCAAGGGGTTCTGAGGGATTTTGTAGTACCGTAGCTCAAAAAGCCCCCACCTGTGTAGCCCCTATTGTGTATCATTTGATATCAATTAGCCAGCTAGGTTTAGATTTAATTAGCATTTACAAACAGATATTTACCAAAGTGGTATAGTAAGAACAGCTGAGGGGCAGCTAGGTGGCACAGTGGACACAGCACCAGTCCTGGAGTCAGGAGGACCTGAGTTCAAATCCAGCCTCAGACCAAACACTTGACACTTACTAGCTGTGTGACCCTGGGCAAGTCACTTAACCCCAACTGCCTAAAAATAAAAAATTTTAAAATAAAAAAAAATAAGTAAGAACAGTTGATACAAATGTTCCCCTCCACCACCTGCCTTTATTTGAGGGGATGCTCTCCCCAAAGAACATACAGACATATTGAATCCAGGGGAAAGTGGGCTCTAGCTTAAAGAATACATGTAGCAAAGGGGTAACTCATGGTTCCTGGTTGCTGGCAGTCCTTTCCTTCCATTTGTGGGCTCCCCATGAAGTTACCCTTGGATATGAGATAGCATTCTGCTGGACTCCTTGAAGCCACCTTTCTTCATTGTGTATACTTTGTCCTCCTCTTCCAATGTAGAAACTGCCATCAGCCACTACTGTTCCAGGGATACTGCTAGAACACTCGTGGAAGTCCAAAGTCTTCTGACCTTTTGCAATTTAAAAGGTCCTCCTCTGGTCAAGAGGGAGGAGAGACAGAGACTCTCATCTTCTTCCCATTCCTTTCCTCAAGTAATTCCCTCTCAGGGGCTTAGCTGAACCATTTCCACCACTAGATTGGCCTGCCACTACAATGCCAGGTTCTGAACTGGCTTGTTAAAAGCCCTGCAGGGTATGATTGAGTCTCTTCAAACAATATATTATATTATATTATTATATTATATCATATATTATCTAAGTATATATAGCATGTTGCTCTGGAAGGCTAAAAACCAAAGCTTCAGATCTGGCTCTGCCTCCAACTCACTGTAGGGCTGGGTAGGTCACTGCCCTGCTCTGAGTTTCAGTTTCCTCATTTGTTAAAGGAGAGGGTTGGACCAGATGATTTTAAAGGTCCCTTCTACCTCTAATCTAGCTCTGAAAGGGAGTTCTGTGACTACATTATCTCTAAGGTCTCAGATCTGTTATTTTAGTGCGGGGTTTCTTAATTGTGTGTGTGTGTGTGTGTGTGTGTGTGTGTGTGTGACGGACCTCTGGCTATCTGGTGAAGCCTGTGGACCCAATCTCAGAATGTTTTTAAATAGCTGTAGGGAATGCTATTTTTCAGCTAGAGATGGGGGAAATAAAGGTATAATTTTTGTCCCATTCAAATTCACAGACGCCTGAAATCTATCCACTGAGCCCCCAAGTTAAGAACCATGTCCTAGCAGAAAGAGAGACAAGCCGGTTAAGTCGGAAGGACTGTGTTCTTCTACCGGCTCTGCCACTTACTTGCTCTGTCACCTTTGGGCAAATGATTTTCTCTAACGTGGCTTCAATTTTCTTCCCTTTAAAATGAGATCGGACTAAGTGACCTCCAAAGCCTTTTCCAGCCTCAGAGGTCTTTAATTGTATAATTTGACGGTCGCTAAGGTCCCAGCCATGATACTAATACTATATTTCCCATCTGTCAGCTCCAGGCCTTGCTTCCCTAGTTCCTTCCACAGTGCCCTCTCTCGGTCCCTGAGTTGCTAAGCGCTCTTAGGCCAGCTGTGGGAGCCGGCTCTGGAAGGGTTTAGACACCGCCTCTCTCTCTCTTCCCCGGGAGCTCCGCCCTGGCTCAGGCTTCCTCCCTACCCAGTGCACCCGCAACGTCGATCAGAGATCGAAGAGTGGGAAGCTGTCTGGTGAGTCTTAGGGAGAGGCGGATGTGACCTGTCTTCGGTGCAACAGTGCACCTGTAATCTAGTAATGGGTAAGGGGAGGCGGGGTCACAGCTCATAGCAGTGTCTTATACGTTCCCACCAAAGCTCTGCGAACATACTGTGTACTCCTTCAGTTCCAGCCCCCACCTTTCAGTGCCTTGTGCCTTCTAGGGAAACGTCAAAGTGCCAAGAAACCATGTGTAAATGCGCGTATCTGTGTGTACAAGGAAAACGTGTGTGTGTGTGTGTGTGTGTGTGTCCATGTAACAAAGAAGATTTTGGGTGAGTGCATCAGTGTGTCTGATGGTCTGCATGGGAAATCATTTGTATTTTCATGTTGTTTGCTTGTGGACACGGTTGCTATGGGTGTATACATTGTATGTCCTTGGCTCACTGAATTGCCATGAGAAAAGTGCTTTGCAAACATTTTAAAGTAATATAGAGAAGTGTAAGTTATTATCCCAAATGTGAGTGTGCAAAGGAGAACATGTGTGTATCCTTATCTGATGAATGCAAAGGAGACGCTCGATCAGTATGCCTGTGTATTCAAAGTATATAAAGAAGACTGTGTCAATTGTGCTCGGGATACCAATTTGTTTGAAGGCTAGAAAAAATTACCGTGCGTCTAACTTTCTGACTTTCTGCCTTCTCAACTGGTGTGCTTATGTGGAGTTGTGTCCCTTCGGGAGGCTAAGTCTACTAGAGGGTCCGATCGTGAGAGTGAGGATCCCAAACACCCAGACCGAAAGGACTCTCCATCTCCCTCCAGCCCCACTTCCGCCGTCCGCTTCCTCCTAGTTCACTCTCCCTAGGCTGGTCCGCAGGGAGCCCTAGGCGACGCCGCCGGACGGGCGGAGCGTGGGTCGCTGTCTCCGCCAGGGCCACACCCCGCCTGGCGGGGCCCGCTCGCTCTCACGCCCACGCGGCCGCCGCCCCGTCGAAACTGCTCTCACCGGGCGCGCGGGCGCACACGCGCAGTGTTCCATCGGAGCCAGCGGCCCCCGGAGCGTCTCCTCGGACTCATCGGGAAGCCGAGGCCGCTTGGGGACTGGGACAGGAGCTGCCAGGCAGGTAGGAGAGAGCCCCGTTAAGGACAGGTGCGCCCTGGGTGAGGAGAGGAGTGGACAGGGAAGGCCCAATCGGGCAGCTGAGGGTCAAGCAGAAAGCTACCTTCTTGGTCTCTCGGTTCCCCCTCCCCCAACCACTCCTCGCCTTTTCCTTTTTTAGGGAAATTCTTTAGCTCTTGCTCTATCTGGAGCCTTTTGGGAGCTGCTATGGGTGGGGGAGGAGGGAGAAAGAGAACTTGCTGTCTCTGAGTCTGGGTCTCCAGAGCTCATCCCCTGCCCTGTCCCCTGCGGCGTTGTCAGTATCTCCTTCTCTCCCTCCTGTCACGTGCGCCTCCCCCAAGACCAGTAAACAAGGCTATCTACCTAATGTTCAACACCCCCCCCACCTTCTTCTACCCTCTTCTTCCCTACCTCCCTCTCTCCAGTCTTCGATATATTTATTGTCTTTCCTGCATTCCCACTGGCCTGGGGTCCCCAGCGCGGGGTGACGGGGAGGGTGGAAAATGATTTCTTAGGGAGGGGTGTTCCTGGGCCCAGCTCAGCCCCCTCCCCCTCTTTTTCCACCCCTAGCTAGCGCCCCTGCGGGGCTCAGGGGTATTTTTAGCTCGGTGACCTGGGCGGCTGCTCTAAGAGCTTTTCCCAGGGATCCTAGTTACAGCAGTTCTCCCAGTCCCCAACCTTTCCCTGCTGCCAAATCTCCTGCCCCACTCTGACTTCCTCTACGCCCTTGCCATCTCCATATTTCGGGGTCCTACCCTCCCTGACTGGCCTCCACCTAGACTCCTGAGCCCCTCAGGTCCTGTTGATCTCATTCAGATGGGCTGGGGACCTGGCTGTTTCAGATGATAAGCAGATAACCTAGAAGGACATATTACTGGGAAAGGGTGTGTCTCCATCCTAGGACCAGGGATAGAGAGCCAGAACTCTGTTCTTAGGGGAAACCCCATAGATAGCGGGAACTCTATTCTAGTGCCCCTTTTCAAAGATGGAAGGTACCTTCTAACTCTGACATTTAATATCATGAAGTCTCTTAGATATAAGAAGGTACCCAGAGAAATCAGAAGAATTGAATTTAGCATTCATTTCCCTAGTTCCTTTTCATCCCCATACTCAAATAACCTACTCTGCCAATAGCTTCCTGATATTAGGCAAGTGACTATAAGTTTCCTGTACCTCAGTCTCCCCTTCTGTAAAGGAATAGTGTTTGGGCCAGATGATCTCTAAACTCATTTTCATCTCTGATGTGTTAAATCTCTTCTGGCTCTGACATAGATTCAGTCCTTAGGTGTACTGATATTCTGTGTTCTAAGGTCTGTTTTGTAGTTTTAACTTTCTATAACAGTTCACATTTATGGATTCCTTTACAGTATATAAACTGATGTCCTCACAGATACTGAATATCTTCACTTTAAAAACGAATAAACTGAAAATTTCAGAAGCTCAGACTATATTATTCTTTCTGTGGAAACATATAGGCAGATCCCAATCCATGTCCAGGTTCTTAATTTTCTTCTTATGTCCTGGCCTTACTAATGTGAGCAAGGTCTTTCAGACCTTTTTGTCCTGGTCCTGTTCATCCCATCTGGCCCAGCCCTTAGACTTCACAGTACTATAGCATTTGGCAGAGCTCCCCCGATAAGAAGCAGCTTCTTCTGCAGAGCCAGCTTCCCCCCTAGCGGTGCCTGGGACGGTCATCCCTTTTGTGGGAGCACAAGTCAGCTTCAGTATGGAAGGACAGATTGTATGTGTCTGAAGAGAGAGATGGAGATAGAGAGAAATGGACTCAGGAGGGAAGTCAGGTTAGGATAGGGGGATGTAGGTTGGAGCCAGAGATGAGGCTGGGTGCTATGGTGACCCAAGCACAAGGTTAAGTCAAATGTCCAATCTTTCTGTATCCCACCATGATTTAGAATCATAGGAATTAGAATGTCAAAGCCAGAAGAAACTTTAGAGATCATCTAGTCCAATACCCTCATTTGACAGACAGGGAAACTGAGGCCCAGGAACTTGGCTAAGATCATATAAGAAATTAATGGCAGAGCCAGAACCAAGACCCCTAGGTTACTTGGTTCACAGTCCAGTGCTCTTTTCACCATAGCATGCTGCCTCCTTACTTTGAGGGGCTTAACCTCCTTTCTATTCCCACAGGAGCCAGCATGGATACCAATTCCCGGGGAGCCCTGGACAGGCAGCAGCTCCGCCTTCGAGATCGACAGAAGTTCTTTGAGGAAGTTTTCCAGCAAGACTCAGAATTCTTCTTCCCTCTATCTCATCTTCACCTTGAGTCCCGGAGACGTGAGCATAGCTAGAGGGGGATGGGGTGTGTCATCCTGGTATGGGGGAAGGAAACAACCACAACGCTCAGGAGCCAGCTTGTTGCTTGTCAACAAGTATTTACTAAACATTCACTATTACTAAACACTCACAGGAACTGTGTTGTACAATGGGGATCCTAAGAAAGGGCAAAACACAGTCCCTGTCTTTAAGAAGCTGACATTCTAGTGGAGGAGACAGCATGGAAACAACTATATACTTATGAGATACATACAGTATAAGTAGGAGGTGGGAATCTCAGAAGAAAGGAATTATGGGAAGGGGGAGAGGACCAGGAAAGTCCTCTGCAGAAGGTAAGATTCGAGTTCAGTCTTGAAGGAAGCCAAGGAAGCCTAGAGGTGAAGGTGAGGAGAGAGAACATTCCCAGCATGTGGATATCCCATGAAAAGGGATGGAGTTGGGAAATGAGGTGTTGCATTTGAGTAACAGCAAGAAGGCCAATGTCTCTGGGTCATAGTATATGTAGAAGGGAGTAAAATGTAAGAAGAGGAAAAAGGTAGGAATGGACCAAGTTGTTAAGAGCTTTAAAAGCCAAATGGAAGATTTTAGAGGTGATAGGGAGCCACTGGCATGTACTGAATAGGAGTGACATCGGAGCAGCTAGGTGGCACAGTGGATAGAGCACTGGCCTTGGATTCAGGAGGACCTGAGTTCAAATCCAGCCTCAGACGCATAACACTTCCTAGCTGTGTGACCCCAGTGGGCAAGTCACTTAACCCCAAATGCCTCACCAAAAAAACAACAACAAAAAAACCAACCAGGAGTGACATGGTCAGATCTGCACTTTAGGAAGATCAGTAGTTGAGTCAAGGATGGATTGGCTGTGGGAAGACTGGAGGCAAGGCCCTGGTCACCACTGAGAGACTACTGCTCATGATTTCATTTCACTTCTGAAGATTCTGCATTAGGACCTTCCTTAGCCTCTCAGCCTTGGTGGCTGACTTTTTAAACCTCTTCCCAACTGTCTATAAAGGATCAGTTCATTAGCTTGTTATGACCCTCACATAATCTGACACCAAGATCCGAGTCCAACATTACTTCCTGGTCCTTGACTTTGTGCCTTCTCTGACCAAACTGGATGTCTTTCTCCCAAGCCTGGAATAGCCTGTATCCATATCTCTACTTTTTAGAATCTTCTTTTAAGACCCAACACAGGTGCTACCCTTCCTCAAGCCTTCCCAGATTATCTTTCCTCCTCACATTTCTCAGGTGACTGAAATCTCTCTGTCTGTCTCTTTCTCTCTCTGTATCTCTCTCTCTCTCTCTCTCTCTCTCTCTCTCTCTCTCTCTCTTCTCTCTCTCTCTCACACACACACACACACACACACACACACACACACACATTCCTGTGTACTTAATAATTTTGTGGGAGTAGCTATTATAGATACTCGTGTACTTATTCCATCTGTCACGAGAGTGTAAGCTCCCTGAAGACAGGGATTTTGACTTCATCATCGTATCCTCAGCACAGAGCAAAAGACTCTGTGTCAAGCAGTTATTTAATAAACCTTAGTTGAATCTGGATGGAATTGAATTGCTGTTCCTGATTCCCCAGTGTCCTAGAGGGTGGATCAGTTCCAGATCCCCTTTGAGGTAGTTCAGTTCAACAAACATTTGTTAACATAGATATATTGAATGAACAGAACTATCCTTGGCATCTTTCCTGGATTCTCCTTGTCTCTCTGATCTACTCCTTGCCTGCATTTTGTTCCCTTCTGGAGCAATTCCAAAGTCCTCTTGGAAATACAAAGACAAAGGAAAGCTCCTTTCACCAGTCATTAAACAATTGTCAAGGACTTGCTGTGAATGTTGCACTGTCCAAGGTGCTGGGAGAGAGCCAGTTTACATAAAACTCCCTGCCCTCACAAAGCTTACAGTGGAGTGTGGGACAAAGCAAAACAAATAACAGTAAATACACTATGTAATACAGAATTTGACACTTATTAACCTAGGGCTTGGGCCGATCACTTCCCTTCAGTTTACTCATCCCCATTTGTTTTGGGTTTTTTTTTTCCTTTTTTGCTTTTTTGGTGGGGCAATCAGGGTTAAGTGACTTGCCCAGGTCATACAGCTAGTAAGTGTCAAGTGTCTGAAGCTGGATTTTAGTGAAGGTCCTCCAGACTCCAAGGCCGGAGCTCTATCCATTGCACCACCTAGCTGCCCCGCTTATCTCCATTTAAAATGGGGATAAGAATATTTGCATCACCTTCCTCATTAAGGTTGTTGTGAGGGCAACAGCTTGTGAACACTGAAATATCATAGAAATGTGAGTTATTATTATTGTTATTAACACAACTATTTATTCTCATATTACATGATAAACACATTAAAAAGCTCCTATGTCTTCTAACTTTCTTTAGTGTAGGAGATTGAAATCTTTAGTAAAAGAAAAACATGTCTAATAATAATTGCTAACATTTACAAAGCACTTTGTTGTTTATAGAGCAATTTAAATCATCATGAATTATCTAAATTTATCTTTATGGCAACGCTGTGAGGTAGCTTGTGTTAATACCTCCATTTTAGAGATAAAGAGACAGAGGCCCAGAGAGATGAAGTCACATAGTGAGTCAGTAGAAGAGCCCAAAGTACATGTCTTTTGTCTCCAGATGTGGCACATGGCACTGCTGAGCCCTTCCTGGCAAGGGGTGGCTTGGACTGGTGTGGTAAGAAGAATCTGGGGTACAGAGTTGGCTCTTTTCTCCTGGGCACAGTGGAATTGGCGGGTCTTCAGTGTAACTCACTTGCCTGTCTTCCCAGCTCCCATAGGCAGCATCTCTTCTATGGAAGTGAACGTGGACACACTGGAGCAGGCCGAATTGATTGACTTTGGGGACCCTGATGCTTCAGATGTGTTCTTGCCCTGTGAGGAGCTCCCATCCACCCCACAGCCCCCCACCATATCTGGTATGTCTTCTGCCCTCGGGGCCTGTGGCTTCCACAGTCCTCCTCCCAACTGAGGAATCTGCAGTGGCAGGACATGGACATGTTTGGTTTGGAGAAGATAACACTTAGAGGGCTAGGGCAGGAATGATAGCTATCTTCCGGTATCCCAAGGACCATCTTAGGGAAGATACAACATATTTATTCTTGGTGGTCCCAGGGAGAAGACTAGGACCAGTGGAAGTAGGGATGTGGTTTATAACAAAAGCACTGCGTTTGAATCCTTGCTCTGCTATTTACTGTCTATGTGACCTTGGGCAAATCACTTAACCTCTCTGTGCCTCAGTTTCCTCCATTTAAAAGGAGAGAGTTGTACTAGTTGATCTCTCTAAGTACCTTTCCAGCTTGGAATTCCGTGATCCTAAAAGAGCTTCCTAATTAGATGAGCTAGTAAGTTCCCTAGAGGCAGCTAGATGGATAGATCCCTGGACCTGAGGTCAAGAAGACCCGAGTTCAAATTGGGACTCATACACTCCCTAGCAATGTGACCCTGGGTAAGTCTCTTAACCTCTGATTTCCCCCTCTGTAAACTGGGAATAATAATAGTACCTGCCTCTCACAGTTGTTGTGAATATTAAAATGAAATAATATTTGTAAAGCACTCTGCAAATATTAAATTATTCTAAGTATCATCGTCATCTTTAAGATCATAATTATCATCTATTATTCCTTGTCACTGGGAAGGCTCAGTCAAGCAGGAAGCTCCCTCTCCCTCTCCCTCCTCCACTTCAGGTGGGGGCTGAATGCCCATTTGTCAGACAGTGCAGCCTTCGCAGGGTTCCTGCTCGAAGACCAGTTGCCTCACTGCACTCTCAGATGCCTCCTAGCTCTGAGTGTGTGCTGCTGCCCAAGCACAGTTATCCTGGTGCTCTGGTAGTGACGAGCAGCAGGCATCTCTCTCCATCTCCCCCACTGGGCTGTGTGTTCAAGCTTTGGGAAACAATAGGACCTCGGGTAAGGGAGGTGGAGGCAGTGTTGCTAAAAATTTTGAGTTTTCCTTTGCCAAATTTTCAGGAAAAGCCTCTTTGCCCTTTGTTAATTGTAAGATAAACAGATGGCCAGCCCTCCTTCCACTCTTCCTCTGGCCCTGCTAATTACAGAGCCAGATTGGTCAGTATAGAGAAAAAGAGGCAGCTGGCAGGGACTGTGGTGTGTCTCCTTGGCTTCAGCTCCTGTTTGCTGTCCATTGCCCTTTGGATCTTCTCCACGTAGAATAAGGTTATATTGTGGAATGAGCACCCAACAGTCTGAGTAATGGTTCTCCTCCTGCAGATCTAAAGGACTGAACTGAAATAGGCACTTTGTGTTAGAGGTGAAAAAGGTCTGAGAGATCCACGCCCTCATTTTATTTAGAGGGAAGGAAACTACTTGTCCAAGGTCATACAGAGAATAAGTGACAGTCTGGCTTCAGACCCAGAGGAACTAGTTCCACCTCAGAATACCCAAGATGACCTCAGAGAGAGGAACTCAAGAATGAAGCTCTAATGAGAATTTTGAGTGGCCTGGCACCTGGGTGGGGGAGGCTTTTTTTGGCAAGCCGCCTTTCCTGGCAGTGGCAGGATGGTGCTGGAGCCACCCCCACCCCCTGGGAGGCCCCACCTGCTGCAGAAAGCAGGCAGCTGGCTCTGTGACTCAGGCCTGGAGGAGGAGGAGGAAGCAGGATACAATTAGCAAATACAATTACTGACATGGCTAGGACTACCAGTCTTCTCCTCCTATTATCACTCAAGCAACAAGCTCCTCTTCTCCCTCTTGCTCTTGGGATTCAGTTTAACCTGGTTTCCTAGAATTCCAAAATATCAGAGCTGGAAGGAGAGGACTTAGTGAAGAACATGAGACATAGAATGTCAAAGTCTCTCTATTTTACAGAGTAGGGCGAGTGAGGGGAAGTGATTCCCCAGAGGTCACAGAGGAAGGTAAGTAATAGCAGAGCTGGTACCCACTCCCACTTCATGGCTTTTCCAACTATACCAAGAAGTAAACCTGTGGGAGAAAAACCTTTGAATAACTGGCATAACCGTGTTCTAGAATAGGAGTTCTTAACTGGAGATCCTTGATATTTTGGTAACAACGTTTTAGGATAATTGATTTCTTTTGTAATCCTGTGTGCTTTATTTATGCATTTAAAAACATTATTCTGTGAAGGGATCCATAGGCTTTACTAGACTGCCCAAGGGTTCAATGATGCAAAAAAGGTTAAGAACCCCTATTATAGGGAGTGACAATTGTACATTGTATGATTGATTGATTGATTTTTTAAAAAAATGTTAAAAAATTTTTAAAGAAGCAATTGGGGTTAAGTGACTTGCCCAAGATCATATGGCTAATAAGTGTCTGAGGCTAGATTTGAACTCATGTCCTCATTTCAGGGCCAGTGCTCTATCCACTGTGCCACCTAGCTGTCCCACAATGTATAATTTATGCTGGTCCCCATGAAGCTCCTAGTGGGGAAGGGTCACTGCCCAGATGGAACCCTTTATACCACACTGTTAAGAAACCAAATGCTCCGTAGGTCTGTCTTGTCCTGCCTGGCTACTGACCAGTGCTTCTTTTTGATTAGGTGTAGGTGACCACCCAGAGGAACTGAACCTGCAGAGGCCCCCATCAGACAGGACCATGTCAAGGACCTCTTCTTCCTCTTCTTCCACTGAACTTAATAGCCCAGACCTGATTGGAGATGGTGTGGACACGCCTCTGGCACAGTCTGATGAGGAAGATGGTGGTGCAGAGCCTGCAGCCTGCAGCTAGCAGTGGCTGCTCCCCTTTGGACTGCACCATATGGGGCCTGGTCACAGCCTAACTTCGAACCCCAGCCCTTGCTAGGAGCCTTTGGGGAGAAGGCCCGACCCTTCCCCGAGCAGTTGGCCCCAGAGGGAGAAGACTATGCAGCCTTCCAGAAATTAACTCTCTCCTGCTTTTCTGCTAATGCTTGCCGGCCTCCACTGCACATATCTACTCATGACCTACATAGGCAACGATTGAATTGGGGGATGTGGGGAGAGGTGGAAGGTAAGGTAGGACAGTACCCACACCACACTTCAGATGGGCCAGAGAAACCATCCCACTCTCTTTTTAGTGGACTTGATCAAGAGGACTTGTGGATGTAAATGTGCTCCCCCACTTCCTTTTCTCAGTGAAATGCTACACAAACCCCTCCTTTCCTCTCCTTCTTAAAACGATAGATCTGCTATCCTGCTTTCTCATTTCTCCCACTGTTGTGCTTCATTAATCTTCTCACCTTATTTCACATATTGAAAAGCCATCCCAAACAGTCCCACTTGACTTTTTGTCTCTTTCTAAGCACAGCCAATGGGGTCCAGGATGGTCATTTCCTAGTCTTATTTCCAGGCCTTCCTTTACCCTGAAGAGACTGACCCTCTCCAGCTCAGTGTGAGGCCTCACGGCTACCACATTGCCAACACCAGCTCACTATCTATGGGGGGATGATGTGTTTGGGCAAAACTTAGCAGCCCCTCCTGGGACCTGGATCCTCTATCCCCAACCAGCAAACCTTGGTGCTGAGACTATTTCCTGTGCAGCCAAAGGGGCAGTGGCTGACCCTCCAGGGGCAGGGTCTGCAGTTTTGTTTCTCTCGGCCCTGAATCTCCTTACAGGAGGGACAAAGCCTCAGGGGGCACTTTAGCAGTCTCTCTTCTCAAACCTGACCACTCATTGCTTCATCACCAGTCTCACAGCAGGGCCAGTGCCTGTGGTCTGACTAGGACCATATAATTGTAGGATTTAGAACTAAAAGGGACCTTAGGTCATCTAGTCCGATTCCTTCATTTTACAGATGGAGAAATTGAAGTCCAGAGCCATTAAAGTGGCATGTCCAAGGCTATTCAGGTAGGAAGTAGTCCCAGGCAGGTAGTAGTGACCCTGCACTCAGTGCCACACTGCTTCCGCTCCACAGCTCAGCTTTGATGCCTCCCCCGCCATTCTTTTCCATGGGGTTCCCATTGTGGATGGCTAGAGACCAGCATGTCTGGGCTGCTGCTACAGCGGACCGTGGATTAATAAATCTTTTGATTCCAGCAGGCATGTGCTATCATTAGCCTTCTGAGTGTGTGTGTGTGTGTGTGTGTGTGTGTAGCAGCATCTCAGTCACTCCCTGATAGCACAGGAATGTTGATGGGTTTATGGGGCCTTTGTGCATGAATCAGAGTCGATTCTAGCACAAAGGAGGTAACCTTCCTGCTGTCCTCTGCTGTCATTAGAACCCACTTACAGTATTGTATCTAGTTTAGGAAGTCACATTTTAGGAAAGACAAGGAAGCATGGAACAGGGATAGAGGACCACCCTGGAGTTCAAAGACTTGGGGGTTCACATCCTGCTTTTGACCACAGGAAGTCAATTAATTTCTTAGTGCTACAGGTAAATCTCTTAAGACTATAAATTACAGACAAACTGGTCTGCATCAATGAAAGGAAAAGCTACAGTGTAGCCACTACACCAATTAGTAGGCAGATAGATGGTGGCTGTAGTGCACAGAGCACTGGGCTTGGAGTCAGGAAGACCTGAATTCAAATGTGACCTCAGACACTTCCTAGCTATGTGACCCTGGGCAAGTAACTTTTAACTTCTGTCCGCTTCACTGCAAAATGGGGGGTAATAATGGCACCTATCTCCTAGAGTGGTTGTGAGTATCGAATGAGATTTTTGTAAAAAAAAATGCTTTGTGTAGTGCACATAGTAGGCACCATATAAATGCTAGCTATGATGATGAAGAAGAAGAAATCATAGGTGAGGGTGAGGAAAGCTAAAACATGCCCAGAGCTTTTAAACCTGGTGAAAGATTGGATGTGGGGAGGAGGGTGGTTGATCAGTAATTGGCCTCAAAGGGCAAAAACAGGACCAAATGGAATTTAGCCAGATTTTTGTTTCTAAGTTAGAAAAAAAAGCCTTAACAATTAGATCTGTCCAGCAGTTCAAGAGGCTGGCTTAGGAGAGAGTTGAGTTCCCCACTGTTAGAGCTATATCAGTATTGTGATGTTTTGGGAAGGGGTTGGTTTAGATCACAGACTCATAGTGCTAGAGCTAGAAAGGACCTTAGAAATTATCTAGTTCAATGTCTTTTTTTTTTCCAGTTGGAAACTAGGCCTTAGAGGGAGGAAGTTGACTTGCCCAGTGTCAAATCTAAGAACTAGAACCTGAACTCAGGTTTTCTGACTCCAAGTTCAATGTTCTTTTTTTTTTCCTTCCACCCCGTGCTGCCTTCTAGATTCATACCTCCAGGTTTCCTTCTAGCCCTAAGTTCCTATGAGGAACTAAATTCTTATGAGAAGCCCTTCTGTTTGGAGGTGCCAAAGGGCGTCTCTAACTCTGAGCTGATTGGGCAGCCGTTGGTAACCAGAGAGAGGATTCTGGTCTAAGCTGAGACCAGACCCCGGGGTGGCTCAAACTGTCACCCATTTCCTGGCCAGGGACAATGGGCTAATCCCATGCCAAACCACAGGGGCTTGGCTTGCCATCAAGAGCTTTCTTGTGCCCAGTCCAGCCTGGGTTTCTAGACCGCATAATGCTCTCCCAGGGACAGGATGGTTTGGAATGATTTCATGGGGCATTGAGCCCAGGCCCTTCCCAGCTCCTCTAACCCCTGTCACCTCAATGGCTGCTCTCTAGTGTTTCACAGTTTTGTAGAGGTTGGATGACAGTTCTTCCCAAATTCCTGGCACCCAGCAAGGGACAGGGGTTGCTGATCTTTGCAGTGCTCCTTGGGTTTGGAGGAAGGAAGATGAGCCACCACTTGTAGGAAAATCTCTTAGAAGGGAGGGCTGGTAACTATAGCATGAAAGGGCAAGAAATTAATATAAGAGGAAATCAGCTACCCAGGATTTTTACTGTCATATGGATCTCAGGGTCAGGGCAAGGAAGACAGTTTGTGGTGCTGTTGGTTGGGATTCACTGTCTTATAAGACAACCTTTGCTTCAATGAGGGAGGGGTTATACAGAGTTTCTAGTGTTTTCCTTTTCATCAATTAGCAACTAATAGGATCATAGCATTAAGGGCTGGAAAGGACTCTACTCTCTCAGGGGTGCTTAACCTTGGCACTTACCTATCTCCAAAGACTCTATGGATAGTTTTAGGAAACCTATGAACTTGGATAGGAAAAAAATTACAACTTTATTTTTCACTAATTACTAACCGAATTTTAGCATGTCCTTCAACTGTTTTAAGACATTATTCAGAGAAGGAGTTTATAGGGGTCACCAGACTGCCCAAGGGGGTCTGTGACACACAAAAAGGTTAAGAACTGCTACATATTTTTTTCTTTAAAAGAAAAAACCTGACATATTTTGTTTTGACCCAACAGAATTTCCTCCAAACACTCAAACCACTTTACAAAGCACATTCCCTGAAACATTTTGTCAATGTTAATTGAAAGGAGGGACTTGTCCTTTAATTTTGACAGTAGGATATGAATGTTGGCCATTTTGTAAATGTATCTGACCAAAGTTCTGTTGACTTTATTTGCTGTGGTCATTGTTTATATAGTTCTTTTGGTCCTTCTTTCTTCAATTTGTATTACTTATAAAATGCTTCCTATGTTTCTCTGAATTCTTCAGATTTGTTATTTCTTGTGAAATGGTAATATTTTTTTTACAGTCATATATCATAATTTATTCAGTCATTTCTGATTTGTTGGATACATATTTATTTTTCAGCTTTTTTAAAAAAAACAAATAATGTTGTTCCAAACATTTTTGCAAATATGAGTATATTCTTGCTGTCTATAACAATACATAGCCCCAGGAATGGAATCTCTAGATCAAAAGGTATGAATGAATTTCTATTTTTTTTTTACAATTTTGTTAATTTACTTATTTTTAGTTTTCAACATTCACTTCCACGAGATTTTGAGTTCCAAATTTTCTCCCCCTCTCGTCCTTCCTCCCACTCCAAGATGGTGTGCATTCTGAACACCCCTTCCCCTAATCTGCTCTCCCTTCTATCTCCTCTCTCCCTCCACCCCCCCAGCCACTTCACTTTCCCCCTTCTCCTTCTATTTTCCTGTAAGGCAGGATAGATTTCTATACCCATTGCCTGTATATCTTATTTCCCAGTTGCATGTGGAAACAATTTTTAACATTTGTTTTTAAAACTTTGGGTTCCCAATTTTCTCCCTTCCTCTCTCCCCACCCACCCTCACTGAGAAGGCAAGCAACTCGATACAGGTTATACATGTGTAGTCATGTAAAACATTTCCATCACAGTCATGTTATGCAAAACTGTATTTCCCTTCCTCCTATCCCGACCCCCGTTTATTCTATTCTTGCTTTTGACCATGTCCCTCTGTAGAAGTGTTTGCTTTTGATTACCCCTTCCCCTAATCTGTCCTCCTCTCTATCATCCCCCTGCTTTCTTATCCCCTTCTTCCCTATTTTCCTGTAGGGTAAGATTGACTTTCTATTTCTTGCATAAATCCAAATTGTTTTCCAGACTAGTTGAACCACTTTACAAGTGTGTCTGCAATGAGTTAGTGCGACTATCTTCCTCCCCTCCAACAGCGAATTTTGCCATCTTTCAGAGTCTTTGCTAGCTTTATGGGTATGAAGTGACATCCCAGAACTGTTTTTAATTTTCCTATTGTTTCTGATTATTTGTTATTTTGTACATTTCTCAGTAGATGATCATTGACAGTTTGTATTTTTTTGAAAATGATTCCTATCTTTTGATTACTTTTCCATTGGAGAATGGCTCCAGCCCTCTCAACTTTGAACCCCTGACCTTTCCCTCCATACTTAATAGACTGTAAGTTCCTTAAGAGCAGGGATCCTTCTTCATTACTTCCACACACTTCCTCAGTAGCGATACTTTCTTCTGGTGTAGGTTGCAGCTCCTTTGTATCTTCTCATACTTTGTGATTCCTGTCTTTGCCTTTCTTTAAAACCTCCATAGCAGATCTGTCTTCTGGCTCCTTTAATATGTCCTGAGTCCCAGTGCAGAATGTGGACTAGCTGTCTCTTCACCCTCTTCCTTGCAGTATGACTCACCTGCTCCCTTTTCTACTTATACATATGCTTCATAATATCTTTGACATGTCTCATTTACATACAGTGCTTTAAGGCTTCTGAGTGCTTTCCTCACACCCACCCTATGATGTAGGTTGTGTAAGTATTATCCTATTATACCTATTCCACAGATGACAAAACTAAGAGGGACTTGCCTAGGTTGACACAGCTAGGATGAGCTAGGAGTCCAGTCCAGGTCTTTTGACTCCAAATTCATTGTCTCTTTCCATTATATCCACTAGATGGCAGGTAGGTGGCACAGTGGAGAGAGTGCTAAACTGGCATAATTTTTACTAGAAGCAGCCAGGTGGTGCAGTGATAAACCTCTGGGTGTGGAGTCAGGAAGACCTGAGTTTAAATCTAACCTCGGACACTTACTAGTGGATGATCCTGGACAAATCACTTAAACTTTTGTCTGCCTTAGTTTCCTCACCTGCAAAATGGGGATAATAATAGCATCTACCTCACAGGGTTTTTGTGAGAATCAAATGAAATAATAATGGTACAGTACTTAGCACAGAGCCTGGCATATAGTAGGCACTTAATAAATGCTTGTTTTCTTCCTACATTATGCTACATCTCCTGTACGCTATTTTCTTGCGTGCAGGTCCTCATTGCTAACATGTTGCAGCATTTTTACATTCCTTTTGAGTCCCCTGTAATTTTGAACTTCCTTGATATATCAATTTCCCATGACATACGGCTAGGGAACATCAACAGAAGAATAATGGTGTTTAAAAAAAAAAAAGATGGGCTTTTGCCTATTTCTAGTGTTCTGAGAGGGCAGGGACTGTGTCTTATTTTACATTGTATCCCCGGCTCTTTAGCACAGGAGTCTGGGCAGAGATTGTGGTAATGATGTTTTACATTTGTATCTTCTCTAGCATTGAGGATAGGGCTTTGGAATGAATGGACAAGAACTTTGATCTTAGGGTACTCATCATTGTTCTCATGATTGATCTTTGGAGTCAACCAACAAAAATTAAGCCCCTACTATGTGCCAGACACTATGCTAAGCACACACACACACACACACACACACACACACACAGAGAGAGAGAGAGAGAGAGAGGGAGAGAGACAAAGAGAGACAGAGAGAGAGAGAGAGAGAGAGAGAGAGAGAGAGAGAGAGAGAGAGAGAGAGAGAGAGAGGCAGACAGGCAGACAGAGAGAGAAAGAGAAGAAGGGGAGAGAGGGGGGGAGAGAGAGAGAGAGAGAGAGAGAGAGGAGAGAGAGAGAGAGAGAGAGAGAGAGAGAGAGAGAGAGAGGCAGATAGGCAGACAGAGAGAGAAAGAGAAGAAGGGGAGAGAGAGAGAGAAGGGGGTGGAGAGAGAGACACACACACAAAAAGAGTCCGATGATAGTCCTGCCCACAAGGAGATAAAAAAATCTAATGGGGAGATAATATGCAAATACATAGATACAAACTAGCTATATTCAGGGTAAAAAGGAAGTAATTAACAGAAGGCATTAGGATTAAGAGAGGTTGAAAAGACTTATTGTAAAATACAGGATTTTAGTTGAGACTTAAAGGAAGCTGGGGAAGTCAGTAGGTGGAGCTGAGGAGGGAGAGCCTTCAGGCATGGGGCACAGGCAGAGAAAATGCACGGAGCAGAGAGACGGAGTGTCTTGTATGTGGAACATCAAAGAGGCCAGTGTCACTATGGAGGTGTAAGGGTATAAGAAGACTGGAAAGATAGGAGGGGGCTAGGTTATAAAGGGCTTGAATGATAAGTAGAATATTTTGTATTTGATAATGGAGGAAATAGGGGGCCACTGGAGTTTATTGAGGGGAGGGGATGACATGGTTGGACCTGTGCTTTAGGAAGATCACTTTGGTGCCTGAATGGAGGATGGAGTGGAGTGGGGAGAGGCAGAGGCACTTGGGCTAATCAGCACGCTATTGCAATAGTCCAGGCATGAGGTGATGAGGGCATGCACTAGAGTGGCAGCAGTGTCAGAAGAGAGGAGGGAGCCTATACAAGAGATGCTGCAAAGATGAAATCAATGTACTTATCATCTATGGATAACAGAAGAATTCATGACCAAACAGGAGATAGAAAAGCAAATAATTTTGATTATATTAAATTGAAAAGTTTTTGCACAAAGCCAATGCAACTAAGATTAGAAGGAAGGTAGAAAATTGGGAAAGAATTTTTACAACCAGTCTCTCTGATAAGGGCCTCATTTCTAAAATATACAGAGAATTAAGACAAATTTATAAGAATACAAGCCATTCCCCAATTGATAAATGGTCAAAGGATATGAACCGACAGTTCTCAGATGAAGAAATTAAAGCCATCTATAGTCGTATGGAAAAATGCTCTAAATCATTATTGATGAGAGAAATTTAAATCAGAACAACTCTGAGGTACCACATCACACCTCTCAGATTGGCTAACATGACAAAACAGGAAAATGATAAATGTTGGAGAAGATGTGGAAAAATTGGAACACTAATGCATTGTTGGTGGAGTTGTGAAATGATCAACCATTTTGGAGAGCAATTTGGAACTATGCCCAAAGGGCAATAAAAATGTGCATATCCTTTGACCCAGCAATAGCACTTCTAGGGCTTTATCCCAAAGAGATCATACAAATGGGAAAAGGACCCACATGTACAAAAATATTCATAGCAGCTCTTTTTGTGGTGGCAAAGAATTGGAAATTGAGAGGATGCCCATCAATTGGGGAATGGCTGAGCAAGTTGTGGTATATGAATGTAATGGAATACTATTGTGCTATAAGAAATGATGAACAGGCAGACTTCAGAAAAACCTGGAAAGACTTATATGGTCTGATGCTGAGTGAAGTGAGCAGAACCAAGAGGACTTTGTACACAATAACAGCCACATTGTGCGATGATTAATATTGACAAACTTAACCCTTCTCAGCATTACAAGGATCTAAGACATCTCCAGAGGCCTCGGGATGGAAAATGCTGTCCACATCCAAAGAAAGAACTATGGAAGTTGAATCACTATCATTTTTTTTTCTCTTCTGTTGAGTTTTGTTTCCTCTTTCTGATGGTTCCTCCTATTGGTTTTAATTTTTACTTACAACTTCACTAATGTGAAAATATGTTTAATAGGAATGTAAATGTATAGCCTATATGAGATTGTGTGCCATCTTGGGGAGGGTAGTGGGGAGGAAGGGGAGAAAAATTTTAAACTCAAAAGCATATGGAAGTGATTGTTGATAAATCAAAATAAACTAATAAAATTTTTAAAAAAAGATGAAATCAATTACCCTCGGTAACAGATTGGATATAGGGGATAGTGAGGAATCCAGGATGACACCTACGTGGCAAGCCTGGGACTGGGAGGATAGTGTTGCCCTCTACAGCAATAGGGAGTGTGGTAGGGGGAGGCTTTAGGGGGAAAGATAATGAGTTCTGTTTTAGACTTGTAGAGTCTAAGATGCCTACTAGACATCCAGTTTAAGGTATCTGAAAGGCAGTTGGACATGTGAGATTAGAGGTCAGCAGAGAGGTTGGGGCAGGATGGGTAGATTTGAAAATCACCAGCATAGAGATAATTAA